GCTGAATCTTTGTCTTTACCACCCCAGTTTTCTTATCAAGTCACTTTCATTCAGTTCCATGTTCTCTCTCTATGTCTCTCTCTGTGTCCCTTTCTCTCTTCTCACTCTCCCTCTCCCTCTCTTTCTCTTTCTCTCTCTCTCTCCGCCCTCCCACCACCCACCTGCATACACACCACTTGTACTAAGCCTTCTGGGAAGTGTAAAACTAGTTTATAATCCCCTCAGGCTGATTAATTGAGCTATTAGTGTTGAGACAGATACAGTTATTCTTTTTCTCCTTCTTCCTTATTAAGAGAACCCCAATTTTGTTTGAAACATCTGACAATCCAACTTGAAAGCTATCTTTCCCGGCTTCTTCTCTTGCCACTATAAGTAGCCATATAACAATTCTGGCCAGTGAGACCCATGAAGAAGTCTGCTGAGGATTTCTGAGAAATCCGCTTTCCTGATAGAGGCTGTAACCCTTCCTCCTTGTATTTTCTTACATCCTGCCTGAAATGCCAAAGTGATATCCAAGCATTAGCTGGATGTTATGTTCAGAATGGATTTAGAAACTGTTCTTTCAAAATTCATATAAACAAGCCATGTTTCTCATAGCATGTGGAACTGTTCCAATTTGGGGTACTTTATTTAAAATGTAAAACTATAGACCTGAATTTCAGGAACTATAATGTAAACATTTGAATACCTGTACTAAAGTTTCTCTGATCTCCTTAGGTGGAAGAAAAAGGATGCGATCTCATTTCCAGGTGCAAAATATAATCAATCATGCCACCAACACAAGGAGAGATCCGCTACACCCACTGTTAAATCCTCTCAGTTCTCTAATTTAAATTTATTTATTTAGGGCTGTGTTGGGTCTTAGTTTCTGTGCGAGGTCTTTCTCTAGTTGCGGCAAGTGGGGGCCACTCTTCATCGCGTTGCGTGGACCTTTCACTGTCGCGGCCTCTCGTTGCAGAGCACAGGCTCCAGACGCGCAGGCTCAGTAGTTGTGGCGCACGGGCCTAGTCACTCCGCGGCATGTGGGATCTTCCCAGACCAGGGCTTGAACCCGTGTCCCCTGCATTGGCAGGCAGATTCTCAACCACTGTGCCACCAGGGAAGCCCTCAGTTCTCTAATTTAATCTCAAAAGACAATAATTGGCAAAAGATGATATATTTTCAAAAGATGCTTCAACTGCAAAGATGAAAAGTAGGCAGAGAGAGCTTGATGACCACAATAACTTATGGTCCCTTCTGAAAAATGGCTGCCCAGCCAGGGACAACATTTCTCAGCCTTCCATTGCATCTAGGTGGAGCTATGTGACTATTCCTCACCATTTAAATATAAGCCAGTCATGTGTACCTCTTCTGGGCTGAAGAGGTATGTGTAATTCTTCACGATCTCTTTTTGTCTGTTAGCTTACTCTAGAGGCAGGAGGAGCCACAAGAAGGATCCATGAATCATCATGCGGAAGGCCGCCTGCCAACCAGGAGCAACCACATAGATCTTTGCGTGAGTAAGAAATACAGTTTCATTGTACTAAGCTACCAAGACTTTTGGGTGTATTTGTTGCCGAAGCTAGTGTTAACTCTAATTAATATAAAGGGCAAAAATTAAAATCTCACATTTTACTGAGCTAAACCTGAGATAACCGAAAAAGTATTAAAGTGATTGAGCTGACCTAGAAATAATTACGTTTTCTGCCATTAGGCAAAAATGGGACAGTAAAATAGAAATTAAATTAATTTATAGGGAAATGAAGAAAGTTGCAATTTTGTTCTCTCTTGAGTTTGCGACTTGTAAAACTCATACCTGCCAGGTACTAAACATATTTTATTTTTTCTGTTTCCAGTTAGGCTGGGAATAGTCTTGGTGTTCTGCAAAGAATTTCCTCATTTATTTCTGTAAGAAAGTGAAATAAATACCTTGCTCCTCATGGCTATTCAGTGACATAGAAGCTACTGCAATATTCAATTTTTTTCCAAATAGGTTATTTCAAGGTGATTGTGACTTGGGTTCAGAAGTCAACTATCTTCCTTTAAAAGTTAAATTTGGTAGAAACTATGAATGCCATCATTTTTTCCCTCTAAGATTAGAGAGCTTCTTTTCTTCTGTGCCCAGGAACCCTCTATAAGTTTTAAGTAAAACTTTTGGCTTGAGGGGTCATTTTGTTCCAGGTTTTTTAAAAGATGTCAGTATTATTCCAGACAATATAAAGAACAGCTTCTGGTTTAGAGAGGCACTCTTGTGACCTAGTTGGGTTATCTGATAAAGTTTTCCATGGCTCAGCGGGAGGCACCATGTGCTTATCAGTCTAGCTGATTCCAACAAGACAACAGACAAAACAAACAAATGAAGAAAAGCCTCTTTTCTAAATTATTGAGACACCATTTTACTTAGTAGTTGCACAAATTTTAAGGCTTAGAGCTTTAATTCAGTGTCCATTTAATCTTTTATAGAATTTTTTATAGACTCTTTCCAGAAATAAACAGCTTTAGACAACCTTGATTGTGATTATGGGCTGAGTATGAGGTGAAATGGCAGATGGGATTATTTTCCCTTTTTCATTCTGAGAAGTTTATCTCCAGCTTTCTCTTTGTATCTATTTGACGACAGTGTAGTTATAAATCCATTGTTTCCCAGGTAACGTTCTATTGCAAAAGTAGGATAATTTTTTCCATAGAAGAGCCAGATATAAAATGAGAAAACTTTTCCTTCTTTTGAAAGATAAATCAGCTTAAACTAAATGATCACACTTCAGAATTTTCCCAGAATCACCAAAACTGTATGCTAAGGGAGAATGGAAGCACCTCACTTTGCTTTAAAAACAGAACCCCAGCTCTGTTGGGGGTGGCAATGAGTTCAGCTAAAAACACAATTTTTCCAGACTCCCCCCACCCTCAGGAGGGGTGGCATTTTTTACAGTTACAACCCAGAAGACATAAGTCAAAGTCTCTTCTGGGAAAGCTCTTGGAGAAAGCTGATCCAGCTAGCACTTGCCTTTTGCCTTTTGCACTTTCTGTCCTCCTGCCTAGAATGTAGTCAGGATGCAAGAGGTGAGGGAGCCATTCTGAGACCACAAGGCAACAAATCAGAGGATAAAAGCCACATACTAAGGATGGCCAAGTGGAAGGAAAAATGAGCTTAGAGCCCCGAGGACTGTGGGTCTGCCAGGACTGTGAAATCCTAACTTAATGTCATTTGACCTTAATGTCACTTGTTTCAACTTAATGTCACTTGAGTAAAACAAAACCTCTATTTGGTTAACCTAGTGAAAGTTGGATTATCTCTTATGGGCTGTCAAACCTATACCAAGTTGATCTAATTAGGTTGCAAGGAATACACTAAAAAAAAATTTATAAGAGCAGTTTCTAAACAAGCATTTCAGGAGCATTCATTTACTTTGGCACTTATTTAAGTCATACATTCATAAATCATTCTTATACTTTCCTTAAAATGACTCCTCCAAGGAATTCTACTTGGCAATAACATATGTAACTCTCATAGAAGGGTCAATATGGATGCATTTCACCCCTCCATTTATTCATTCAGCAAACATTTATTGAGGGCGCAGTAACCCCTGTGCTGTGGGCAGGGATGCAAAAATGAAAAACAAGTGCCTGACTACAAAAGGCTCAGTTTGCTTGAAAGTAACAAGACAGAATCTCTTTTGAAACATTCTGTTTTCCAGTCCTTTGCTTCCTATGGGTTATTTCAGGTACGTTAGCTCTCCAAGAGACAGATAAGCCTAGCACCACAATCAATATCAACAAAATAAAAGAACTTGAACCACCAACATGGTATCCAGTGCTAAATGTTCAGAATACTATTTCATAATTTGAAATTTTAGTTAACTATCATACCAGTATGTTCATTACAGTTGTGAGAAATAATTGAAGAAAATTTCTCATTCTGTCCACTACAAAACTTGTTTTTCAAAAATCAGAATACTGCTAGAAGCAGATTTAATGCTATTCCACTTTGTTCTGTCATTCCTATGATAAAAAAATTATTGTACATCAGGCCTTTATACCAGTACTAAAGGACAGTTATTCACTGTGGTATGGTCAGCAAAATACCGGTGACTATCAAGAAAACCACTTTCTACTCACTTCTTCGTGTCACCATCAGCCCATCATTTAACTTCTTTCTACCTCTGTTTCCTTAGGGGTTACGTGATGGGGTGGAATTAAACTATTGTGTTGTTTCGTAGACCTAAGCTTCTCTTATTTCCCTCCTGTATTCTCGGTGGGATGCATTAGTAGACAAGTTTCCTGACTAAGAGCAGGACATTAAGATTAGTTTTAAAAGATGCATGGCTTCTTTTCTGTTTCTACTGCCTTGGGAATTATATATCTTAGCCCATATCCCATACAAAACCACAGTTTTATATATAATTAAACAATATAATATCATATTAATAATACCATATCACTTTACTCAGGATCAGAATATAGGACTGGTTTTATTATTTCCAGGTTTTAAGGACCTAACTTGTATTGCACGCATTTTAGGTAATTGAATGAAAATTAGATGTAGAGTGCATTGTTTTTAATTTGCTGTTCCAAAGTATCCCCCAGATATCCAGGAGTGAGTCTAAGAAAGCTTATTTAAAAGCACAGTGATCCTCTTGCCTTATTCTGAGAAACTGCTTTCAAAGTCTAAAAAAAGATTCATTTTACGCAAAATCTGAATGCTGAAATTCAAATCTTTTTAGTATAGACAGTAGAAGTAATTAACACATTTGATAGTTATCTGCAAACCACCACAGAGAGGTACCTGCTTCTCTTACTACTTTCATGAAAATATCTGAAACTGAAATACATTAAACACAGCCAGTTTAACCCACCACATTCTGAATTTGATACACAGGATTATAAATGCTATCATCTTGCTTACAATAAGATGTTCAAGGGACATGAACACTCTTTACAAATCCTTTAGTTATCATCCTGCAAACCAACTCACACCTGAAAGTATTCCTCTATTACAAATACACATATTCCCCTATACTTACCACAATGAGTTAAAGGTAGAAGCTCCGTGGTAGCCTTTGAGTCATTACTTTGCTTTACCATTCCCTTCATTTGAGGTGTCATGGCACAGTCCTTTACAGACAGCCAGTCATTCTGTTAGGTTTACTGCAAACACCGAAAGAGGTATCTTGTACTTGCTGGAAGACTTAGCTTCTATGCTTCTGGTCATTCTCCCCACAAAAAGAACGGGACCAGTTTCTGAGCTATTCTTAACTGTCCTTCCAAAACATTTGAAAAGAGAAAGACAAGACTTCTTGATTTCCATGCAAACTCCCAGCCTGCCCGCCTGCCTGCTGCTGCCAATACTCCTCACTCTTGCTGGTGATGACATTCAGCAAGCTCCCCAGCTCCGATGCTTCGTTATGTAAGGCTGTCTAGGTCAAGTGTAGGAGACACACTGCTGGCCTGTGAAAACTCATGGAACTCTTCCTTCAGATTAACACTTCAGGGGCTATGGAAGCTGGAGGAAGCTGAGCTTTTACTACATCTTTTGGGGGTAAATATTTTTTGCATGAATCAGTGGTTTATGTGCTATAGTCTTGGCAGATGCCTGTCAGCCATGCTGAGAGGTGTAGAGGGAAATTACTAAGAGATTTCAGTTCTGTCAGCATGCTTGAATAAGCATAGGATGTCTTCCAGCAATCCTAGCTTTAAGACAGTTAAAGAGTAACTGAATCATAAATTAGAGTTTGCTTATCAGGCATCATCTCTAACTATCGAGGAATGCATGTTGGATTTGATTGTTTAAACTGAATGCAATCCATTTGCTCAGAGGCATTGAAGGAGAGCATTATTAGATGGGGCTATTAGCTGTAAGAGATTTACTGCAGTTCTTGGCTGTTACATTGCCCTTGTCTGATTGCAAATTTGCTTCCCTTGTAAATGAGCTTTATGTTTTCCTGTATTTGTCTTCTGTTGTGATTGTTTGTGATAGTATGAGAACAGAGCCTGCATAACCTGGCAGTTTTGTGACTTCAACAAATAATAAATCCTGCCTACTTATTCCAAGGTGAATACTGCAGTAGGAGCGCCATTTGATACAAGCCTGATTAGTGTTGGATTAACTGCATTCGTTCACACTGCTGTGTATGGGGTGCTTGGAAGCATTATCCCAGGTTTAGCATGAACACTTATTTATTCTCTGAGCAAAAGTAGAACTGATATCATGCTGATTCTGTTTTAGACTCTCACACTGTGTCCTGGTACGGGAATTAGTTAAAACGGGAGATTCTTATTGAATGCTGCAGAAAAGCCTGGTAAGATTGCGGCAGCAGTGTAATATTGGGGAAAAAAAAATTAATAAAATTTAACCAGAGATTATGAGACAACAAATGGCACCTGATTTAAAGGATAGGTGGTTATTTTAAAAGTTGAAGATAGATACAGCACATTTGAGAGGGTTTGGCTTCCTGCGTGCCCTTGGCAAGCAAAGTTCAGTGCCTTGGACAGGATGTCGTGATTAGGAAAATAAAGGCTGTGTAAACTGCCTTCATGATTTTAAAGAGATAAAGAGGATGCTGACTACTCAGTCATTGCGTGTTTCTAAGTGAAGACTGGCATGAGGCAGGTTAATTGGAGCACACTCACTAGGTACACAGGTAGTTTTAAAGTATCTGAAATTTGTTGCATTCTTTTAATTAAATGAATGGAATGAAAATGAGTGTTACTAAAATGAATTTCTTTGAGAGTACTTTTCATTCTGTTAATCAAGATTAACAGTGGCACATTGATTATTTATGATGGGAATATACTGCTTATCATCTTATGCTATATTTAATTGATTAAACATGTACATGTTTTTCTAAATAATTTAAGGAGACAGTTATGGTCCCTCAGGGCCTGACTGTGTATTATTGATGTTCAATAAGCATTTTCCCCATAGACTTAGCTTGGCATAAGGGCCCCATCAGACCGGGTTTTACTTAGCTTGGCATTGAGAATATTCCTCATAAACATAATGTTAACAATAATGCATACATATTTAGTTGTACTTACAATCTTTTACTTTATATATCTTTAGGATAACACTGTCAGTACTCTAATTGTTTATAAATGATTTTTGTTTAATACTATTTCTATTGGCTATTGTTAAAAGGAATTCTTTCTGGTAATGTAGCTTAAAAGTTATATTAATTTCTTCATTTCTCAAGTAAGGTATTTGAGTTAAGTGAGGTCTAAAGTTAGTTTTGGTTCGGCCATCAGTAGGGTATATTCTTCTAAATGTGAATTAGCCCTATTAATTAACCTATGCTAAAGTGAGATTACATCTTTTGGTGAGGTTATGTTTTTTAAATACCTACAATACTAGGCCAATTGAGTACCTACCAAATGCTAGGCCAGTGTTACCTCAAAGTGTTATCTCCTGAATAATAGCAGCAACAGCATCACCTGGGAACTTGTTAGGAATGCAGATCCTCAGGCCTTGTTCCAGATTTCCTGAGTCACAACCTCTGGGTTTGGGGTGGGGCAGTTTGTCTTTTAACAAGCCTTCCAGGTGACTGTGAAGCTGCTAAAGGCTGAGAACCGCTATGCTGGGCAGGACTTTGGTTAAATCTCATAAAAAACAGTTCTTACTATAATATATTTTGAATAGGTCCTTTTTATATTATTGAATATATTTCAAAGATATGTTACATAATTGTTTTCTATTTCCCTGGTGGCCCAGATTTCTCAGTGTAAGCAGTACTCTGTTTTAAAGATTTATGCATTTACTTAGTACATCTTAAACCTAAATTTGTTCATAAAAAGCTTTATTTTCCAACAGTTCCATTTTTAGCTTTCAGAAGTTACATAGTGTGATGGGAAAAACACTAGAGGGCCTATCTCTTCTGCTGGCTTGCTGTGTGACTTGGCCTATGTCACTGACCCGCTCTGATGTTCAGTTTTTTATTTGTAAAATGATAGGTTGGCATAGTCAGGGCTTCTCAGCTCAGCACAACTGACATTGTGCTGTGGGGTGTGTCCTGTACATCGTATAATGTGGAGCAGCATCCCTGGCCTCTACCCAAAAGGTGCCAGCAACAACCCCCAGTTATGACAATCAAAAATATTTTCAGACATGAACACGTCTCTCCTAAGGGCAAAATTGCCCCTCCTACCTCCTCACGTCCTAATCATCCCCTCCCCGTGTTTGAGAACCATTGTTAACTCCTCTACATAAAGTTCTATTATACTAAATAATAAAACAATGTATAATTTCTCCTTTTGGAAGCAGTCAGGTTAAAAATTCCAAATGAATAAATAGATATATGTCTTACTTGTATAACTCAGCTATAAGCTCTTTGTCCCCTTGAAGAGTTAGGCATAACTGTCTCAAATTCCTACCAGTTCCATAGTCTGTGGAGGTCCCCAAACCCTTCTGCAATTTCTCAGGGACTTAAAATCTTGCATCCTCCTCTATGTCCTGGAGTCCTAGCTCCATGTATACTCATCACTCTAAAAAAGTGACCCAGATTCCATCTGTCACTAGTTTCTACCAGGAATTTATGCATACCAATCATCTTTTGAGTTAAATAGATTTCACTAAGGATTTGGGCTGCTCTTCCCCGTATTCTCTTTCCTTTCTCTACCATCTCTGCTCCCCACCCCCTCCCTGCAAGATGTTCTGAGAACTGCAAATTCTTTTCCTTCTAGTGCGCCTGGTAGTCCAGCTTTCCACGCTCTTATATCTGGATGTAAATGCCCAAACCCATCAAAGAATTTAGAAGATTAAGGACCTTCAGTTTAGGACTTTCTCCTCTTCCTGGAAGGCAGTTGAGGTCATGTTTTATAATCACAAAATCATAAAGTCATGGGGCTGGAACAGGTATAGAACAAGTTCATTTACATGTCTTTAGAAGTCATACTGAATGATCGCTCTTGGCCCATAAAATTATACATTTGCATGCTAGAGTTTCAGAATTTTAAATTATATCTGCCCATGAATTGTTACCTCAAACTTCAGCAATTTAGTCCAGGCATTTTCTGGAGCTGATATGCGTGGTGGAAATAGATAAGCCACACACACACACACACACACACACACACACACACACACAGAGACAGACAGACACACACACACACACACACACAGACACACAGACACACACACACACATTTTCCCCCCAAGAGTTAGAAATTCTTTTCAAAACATATTGTACTAAAAATTCAAATTGTGTTATTCTAAGATATCTGTGAATTAAGGGACTTAATCTAAAACGTAGATATAAAAATGTGCCAGGTAACTACATTTTGATTAATCAAAATAATAATATCTTATGTTTGAATGATTGTATCTGTATTTCCAAGTAATTTTATAGACATGGCCCTTTCTCAGACCCACAGCCACCCTATAAGATAGGTCCCATTAGTGTTTTCATTTTACAGAGAAGAAAATAAAAGCTCAGTATCTCCAGATGTCAAATCTACTTCTCTTTCTACTATTCTACGAGGCAAGACTCCCTAGTGTATGTAGTTTCAACATATTGGTGAGTATAATTTCTAAGTGTTTTCTGATAAAGACCTATTTCAAGGGTCTTCCTGCTCCAAAGCACTCAGTGTAAGGACTGAGATGTACTACCAATTTTTTGTTTCGGTTTCTAGGATTAATACATTTTCCCCAATTTATCATACATTTATTTGTATAATATGCTTAATTGATTATTCTTCGTATGTATTACTAAAATGCTTATGGAATGATTTCAACACACCATTTATTATACTCATCATAGTCACCTGCATTATGTCACTTAATGCTACCTAGTTCCTTTGTATTTTGGACTTCACGTAACTCTATTCACTCAGGTCAATTAAATAGCAACTTGCCAATGAGATCTAGAAGGAAAAATCAAATTCCAAAAGGAAGAAGTGATTCACTTATGGCTGCAATACATTTGGAACTCTTTGCAACTGTCAATCATTCATGCTGCTTTCTTTATTTACCTTGAGCAAAACTCTTTTGGGTTTGATATACAGATTTACAACATGAAAAATTATTCCCAACATCAAATATAAATGGTTCTTTTAAATGACTCATTTCCCAACACCAGGATCCCAGTCACTTCCAGGTTTATTTGATCTTAAAGTAAATACCGGAGAAGAACTTAAAAGATCTTTTGTTCCATTTTGGAATATTAATTCAGGGAAAAATTATACAATAGAGAATAATTTAAATAGATATTAAATACAATGAATTTCAAATGAACTGGTAGTATTTGTGAATTCTATTTTTTCTGAAGCTGTGACTCAGCTCAATATTAGAGTCTTCTGTTGAGAGTGGAAGTTCTCAAGCTACACCCTACCCCAGCAGAGTTAGGGGTATAAATGTATTGTCAGACAATCCCCTTCCTTATCACTGGTTAGCTCTGTGGCCACAGA